GGCGCAACTCCCGGAGTTGCGCCATCTATGTCCCAGCCTGATTTTGGCGAAATGACGGAAGTTGTTTTGAGCCAGCAAAGGTCGAGACGCTTTAAGACCCAATTTTAACAAGTGACCTGAGGAACCGTTTTTGCCGTCAAGAAACGGTTCCTCAGGTCACTTGTTAAAATTGGGTTTTAAAGCGTCTCGACCTTTGCTGGCAAAATGACGGAAGTTGCACCATCTATGTCCCAAAAAGGACAACTCTGATGTCTTTCCTGGTGGTTTTGCCTCCTGTCTTGGGATAACTCTGATGTCTTTCCTGGTGGTTTTCCCTCCTGTCTTGGGATAACTCTGATCGACGTGGCATATTTTGATACAGTAGGTTGGTTGATGGATGTCGGGAGATATGAGGGAGTTGCGCCATCTATGTGGGCATTCCCAGCCTGATTTTGGCGAATGAGTGGGAGTTGCGCCATCTATGTCCCAAAAAGGCAGCTTGATGTTGAGAAAAAAATGGGGGGAAACCAGCACAGTGCCAATTTTCCAAATGGGTTCGCCCCAGAAAACGGACCCCACCAAGTGTCAAGTTTCCTTTGGGAAACTCAGGAAAAAGCTCTTTTTCGGGGAACTTGGTGGGGTCCGTTTTCCGGGGCCAAGCAAAGTGGCAAATTGCCAGAGCGTAGAAGATTGCAAAACATATGTCATTTTTAGGGGCATAGATGGCGCAACTCCCGGGATCCAACCAACCTACTGTATCAAAATATGCCACGTCGATCAGAGTTATCCCAAGACAGGAGGCAAAACCACCAGGAAAGACATCAGAGTTATCCCAAGACAGGAGGCAAAACCACCAGGAAAGACATCAGAGTTATCCTGTTTTACCTCCTGTCTTGGGGTAACTCTGATGTCTTTCCTGGTGGTTTTGTCTCCTGTCTTGGGATAACTCTGATGTCTTTCCTGGTGGTTTTGCCTCCTGTCTTGGGATAACTCTGATCGACGTGGCATATTTTGATACAGTAGGTTGGTTGATGGATGTCGGGAGATATGAGGGAGTTGCGCCATCTATGCCCCTAAAAATGACATATTTTTTGCAATCTTCTATGCTCTGGCAATTTGCCACTTTTCTTGGCCCCGGAAAACGGACCCCACCAAGTTCCTCGAAAAAGAGCTTTTTCCTGAGTCTCCTAAAGGAAACTTGACACTTGGTGGGGTCCGTTTTCCGGGGCGAACCCAATTGGAAAATTGGCACTGCGCTGGTTTCCCCCCATTTTTTTCTCAACATCAAGCTGCCTTTTTGGGACATAGATGGCGCAACTCCCTCATATCTCCCGACATCCATCAACCAAACTACTGTATCAAAATATGCCACGTCGATCAGAGTTATCCCAAGACAGGAGGCAAAACCACCACATCAGAGTTATCCCAAGACAGGAGGCAAAACCACCAGGAAATACATCAGAGTTATCCTGTTTTGCCTCCTGTCTTGGGGTAACTCTGATGTCTTTCCTGGTGGTTTTGCCTCCTGTCTTGGGGTAACTCTGATGTCTTTCCTGGTGGTTTTGCCTCCTGTCTTGTGATAACTCTGATGTCTTTCCTGGTGGTTTTGCCTCCTGTCTTGGGATAACTCTGATCGACGTTGCATATTTTGATACAGTAGGTTGGTTGATGGATGTCGGGAGATATGAGGGAGTTGCGCCATCTATGTCCCAAAAAAGCAGTTTGATGTTGAGAAAAAAGTATGGGGAGAAACCAGCGCAGAAGATTGCAAAAAATATGTCATTTTTAGGGACATAGATGGCTCAACTGACGAGCTGAGCCATCTATCCCCCATTTTTTTTTGACGTAGATGGCGCAACTCGCGGTGAAAACGCTGCTCGCTTTCGTTTTCCCCCAACGCGCGCGCGCGCATTGGCTCAAAACGCTCACACCGACTCGTTGCATTGGGATCACCGCCCTGGGGAGACACAACGGAGTGACTCAACATGAAAACAAAACGGGGGGAACAACAACGGGAAAATGATGCAAAATGAAAAATGTCACTTTTGTAGTTTGTAAAACAGAAAACTGCTTTAGTAACATTTTGAAATGTTAAAATTGTGCATATGTGCTGCATCATTTTTTTAAAAAAATATTTCTATCCAAAAAAAAGCCCACAACCAATGTTAAAACATTCAGTGGATCATTTTCAAAGTACTGCAGTGAAACTTTAAAAGCGTTCTATTTTCAATATATGTTTGTCATTTTTTGTCAAAATATCTTGAAACATGAGATTTCTATCTATCCATAAATTCTGTCCACAATCAGTTTTGAAACCTTCAGTGGTTCATTTTCAAGGTGTGGCACTGAAATTTTGAAAGATTTGAATTGAATGCGATTTAAGGGACATAGATGGCGCAACTCATTTCAAGGTATCGCATTGCAATTTTAAAAGTTTTTCAATATTTTTTGTCAAAACATGTTGAAAAATGAGATTTCTAGCCATAAAATTCTGTCCACAATCAGTTTAAAAACATTCAGTGGTTCATTTTCAAGGTATTGCAATGGATTTTTCGAAGATTTGAATGCGCTTCAAGGGACATAGATGGCGCAACTCATTTTTGAACCCATCGAAAAAGATATTTCTGGCGTTGGAATGGGATTTAAGGGACATAGATGGCGCAACTCACTTTAGGAAAAAAATCTCGGGGAATTATATATATATATATTATATAATATTTACAATACAAACATGTGTTATCTTCAGTATAAACAAACAAAAATGATCGGACATGTAGTAAAAATAGTTAAGAATATATACCCTTATGTCCATCTACTGGAGTGGCAGTTGCGCCATCTACCTTTTCATTTTAAAGTAGGGCGATTTTTTCTTCAATTGGCGGACCTCGTTTTATGTTCCAGCTAAAATAGCGCCATATTCTTTCTCACCCCGCGGTGCCATCTTATGGGTATTTTGGTTTTTGAGTTGAGCCAGCTCCAGAAGATTGCTGAATAATTTCCCTGGGTGTTCCCCTATTTTTTTGGAAAAACATGCATGTTGGAGGCATGCGGCTGATACGGCGCCCTTGGAAGGGTTGTTAATTTTGAGATGTGCCATTTATGCAATTTACGATCCCTTGGAAGGGTTTAACATGTTGCACATGCTGTTGTATGATCATCAGGGAGGTGGGGGTGGGGGGGTGTGTATTCACGTCCTTGACGAGCACTTCTCTTACGTTACGGAACATGTACACGTTGCACATGCTGCCGTATGATGATCAGGTGGGTAGGGGGGGTGTATTAACGTCCTTGACGAGCACTTCCCTTACGTTACGGAACACGTTGCCGTTGTTGACATGTTGCAGATGCTTTCTGATGCGCTTTTGTTGGATTTCTTGCACGAACCTATTTTGGTACCAAGGGTTATCCCCACAAAAGATTCAAGATGGCCCAAGTCAACCACAAACAAAATATCTTTTCTAAGGCTTATCATTTTCGAGGTCGTTTGTGGGGTAATCCTATAGAACCATTGTTGCTGGTACTCAACAAATAGACGGAACATGGAAACACCTCAGAAAATGGCGACCTATGTCGATGCTCCTCAGCTGGACATGGCGTCACAATGCTGCCTTGTTGCAGTCTCTGGCTTCTGCGTTGCCACAAGCTCTCTGGTACTGAAGCGTCGAGAAGACGAAAAAACTGGATGAGTGATTGTCGGCCTGATATGATTCGGATGATTGAAAATCATGGATTTCTAATGTTTCTTTTTTGACCCTTGAAGAGCAAAATCGAGTCACTGCACAGGCAAAACGCACATTTTCACTCTTGAGTCACACGCCTGCCAATCGAAATGAATGTCCTTGTCGCAAGCATTTTTTGACCACTCCTGCAAATACCAGCATTTTGTCTCTTAGCCTCAAAAATCAGAATTTCAAATTCGTCACCCATACAAGGGCGCCGAGTCAACCGGTTGCCTTGTCGGATGACACACGAATGATTTGACGATTTGTTTATATCTCGCTTACAGGGCCATTATGTGCTCGTGAGCAGGGAAATGAATAGGATATAAATCTAATACACATCATGAAGTAACCATTACTGTATATACAATAAACATGACACTTGTATATGGACAACATGAACCAAGGTACAGGGCATTACAATATGGATAACATGAACCAAGGTACAGGGCACACAATGCTCGTGAGCAGCAGCAGCAACCTGTTTACCTTTTTCGCCGTCGGCACTGGCACAGCCAGTGGGGGGGATTGCACCTCTGCTGTAGAATCTGGCGACCGGTCACCTGATTTGCCTCCCTTGCCGAGGCTTTGGCCAGTTGACAGATGGAAAAAAATCAAAATGGTTGTGTTCATACGTTGGGAATGGGTTTCTTGTTGAATAATCTGAGGTATATATATATATAACATCAAAAACATCTCATAAGTGTGCTAACTCAGTTAGTCAACTTAGAGTTGAAAACTTAATAATCCGGGTATCTAGATTCGTAACTCAGCTAATCAAACACACAACATACTATCTGAATACGATCAGTTAGTAAGTCGGTCAAATCATATATGCCATATAGATCACTTATAACTCATATAGCTAAGATATAACCCTACTCGTAACCAGTTTTAGCGCAAATAATAAATGCCATATCTGTGCTTTCCATTTACCAAACAGGGTTGACCTTCAAGTATGCTTTCCAGGTGATGTTGTTTTTGGATTCAAAGGGATGGCCACCCCTCAATGAGAACAACTATATGACTATATGGGGATTAAATTATGTTCAATTAACCAGAGGTGGGATGACCAGAGGCCCCTTCATCCCGTGTTTCGACCCTGGCATGTGTCAATACTGTATAATCACACAATGCCTCCCTGATTTGGTGATATTTCGTGACTTTTCCATTTGTATATATATATACACATATTGCGAAGATTTGCGACGAGTTTCCGATGATTGAAATTCCCACTTGGCAAACATGTTTTTGGGGCGGCTCTCTTTGGGCAGTTTCTTGTTTTTTTTGACCTTGCCTGAGATCGTCGTGAAGTCAGAAGAGCACGTCTACAAATGGCCTGGGACCCCAATATATGAGTTGTTGTTTCAATGTCTTTCCCAATTTCTTGTGCCCATGCCCTTCACAGTACGTACCACAAGCAAGCCTAAATAAAATACGGAACGACATTTAAATATGTGGACGGCGGGCCAGACTGCGAGGCCCCGGAGGTAGTATGAAATATATACCAGATCGTATATTTAAATATAAGTTACTATATGTTTAAATGAATGGGATTCCGTATGTTTAAAAGGCCGGGCGGGCCAAGGAAAACCTTCCCGCATATTTAAATGTAGTTACCGTAGCAAAATCGAATTAGAAATATGGACGATGTTTAAAATTTTATGTTTCTCGACGTTATATTGTATATTTCTAAAGGGTTTCCTTCTTGGTCTCCACCCTGCCGCTCAAGGAATTGCCCCTGGCAGCTGTCACGATTTCCCAAGGCGCGGTAGATGGCTATAGATATCTGAAAGATGGCCAGTAAGTCCATACTGATTATGTAAGTATAGAACACCTCATAAAAAAGAACAAACAATCAGTATCATTTTTTTAGCACGGATTTTACCAGATTCCATCTTTTTGGGGGGCGCTGTATGGCAGATGAATGGTGCAAGTCCTTGATCCATTTTCAACCCCGACCATTTTCTCGTTTTGTTCGTATTGATCAGAGATGTTCATAGATGTTCCTTGACCTTCCCAAGCATCCGCTGCATTGCCCTGGGTGCAGGGTATCAAGTGGAAAAACGAAGCGCAGGCAAAAGCAAGAAATTGCCTGGAACTTATGACCTCATACAATGTGGTGCCCCGGTTCTTAAGCCGAGTTGGTGTATAAGCAGCTATACGCTATAGATAATTGATTATGTTCTAGAGTTAATGGGGGTTATACAGTAAGCCAACACACTTCAGCATCCCTCAGTGCTAGTCGACCAGATTCTCACTTGTCCTGTGCATCAAGGCAAGCGCTACACTGTTTCCATCTGTGAGGCAAGTTGATTGCGGCTGGAGAGGGGGACAACATGTGGTTTCATGGGGGTTTCATGGGGGTTTCAAACCTGATTTCCTTCAAAGATGTTTGTCTCATTTGGCTTCCACTTTTGCTTCCCCATCCTTCAAAAATTAGCCTGAAGAGTAGCTTGGATGGTTCAACCACCTGGGTTTGGGGGTGGTTTCCCAGGCAGGTTTTGCCCCTTCTCTCGGTGCTGTCCTTTTCTATCAAGAACGGAGATCTTGGGTTTTTGAGGGGTAGTGCGGTAGTGCCCCATTTCAACAGAATCCTTCAACCATGTAGGTGAACATGTCCAACATCCATTTTAATCATTTTAAAAGTTATGTTGGAAACATTTACGAAGCGATGCTTTTGGATCAAAACCAACAACGCCCAAACGTTTGCCGCAAGACAACATGGGAGACCATTCTAGTCTATTGTACTACCGTAAGAAGTATGATGGGAAAACCAGGTTGCGGGTGACTTTGGTGACTTTGTGAAAAGTATTATTGTTGCCTTAGGCAACTGGGCCCCCTACTTTTCATATGTAAAGTATGACTCCGGGTTCTACCACGACTGAGTAAAACTGGGCCCCTTGGTGTCACCCCCGTAGTTTTTCCGTGTTTTCTCGGCGCAGGGAGACCTGGTGCTCCTCTACTCGGATGGATTTACAGACAATGTTTCGATCGAGAAGGCCGGCCCAGGATTTTTCTGGGACCACCAGGTGCTGTGCGTGTTGGTGCCCCAAGGACCTTCTTAGTTTATTTATATTTATAGGATATATCTAAAATTATCTAAATAATTCTAAATATAGGATAGATATACGATTTTAAATCTTATTAACATAATATGTAAATAGCCTAAAAGTAGCCTAATCTGATATCTTGATATGTTTGATAAACCATACAATTTATTGGATCTTGAAAATATATTACATGCAAAGTAGTGGCCATGGGAAAATGTGAAAAGTTGCAAGAAATTATCAGAAAACAGAAATGGAAAAGAAAATGGAACATCTTGGAAAATTCTAAATTTTCTCTGAAAGCCGAAATGGAAGTGAGCAACTTCGATTTGTGGAATTGCAGTTGGCTGAGAATTTTCTTCGAAAACAATGAGCCCAACAGATTTCAAGTATGCACTCAAGTCCGCTTTTTTTTTTGCCACCATCGATGGAAAGCGCTTACACCTCAAAAAGTGCAACTTTCATGCGAACTTACATCAAACTTACACCTCATGTCCTTAAGGGCTGCCGTCCCTGCCGCTGACCCCAGAACAATAAAAACACGGACATTGAATCATTGATGTATCGTATCTGCTGACCCGACCAACTTTCATGGGAACACTCCCAACAATTTTTTTTTACCATTTTTCATGCGAACACTCCCAACATTTCTGTATACAATTTTTCTTTTATGCACCCCCCATGTTGTCAGGATGTCAGGTGACAAAAGGCGCTGACGCACACCCCCCCATGGGGGTCGATGGATTACCAAGGCCACAATTAATAAAACAAGATTGACATAAATATTTTTCAGTGTTTCGCACTTTCAGGCCTTCCCCTCCTTTTTTGATATATAGATTTTGATGACATTTATTCGATAAATGAAATATATTTGACAGATAATGATATATTTGATATAAACTTAAGAAATAGGAAGAGCCCCACATATGCACACACACACACATGCACACCCCTCCTGCCAAACCTCTTTACCCCCCTGTCAGCAGAACCTCGGCGAGTTCAACCAGAGTTTGGGTCTGGCGCTTTTCAGAATTTATCAAGATAATATAAGCCCTCCCATTTACCCAATTTTTGTGGCAAGGCGCAGTATTGTTAGTGGCAAGGCGCAGTAACTAGCTAAAGCTCACAGCATGCATAGCATTCATAAATTCTTGTACTAAAGGTTGAGGATATCTACACAAATCCTTTTGTTTGAACAAGGTGTAGTTTTCAAGCCAGTTGCCTCTGCTATTACCAGGTGCTCTTTGTGCACTTTTGTTTTTTAATACCTATTTCTTTTTACCTATTGCCATCCATCATTCTATAGGTGGTCTAGGTGTCCAAGTGTCCAAGTTTGTCCAAAGTCTTGTCCTTCTCCTGCAAGGAAATCCATACTTGCAATAATCCACATCAAAGTATGGCGAACCCTGCATAAATGGTTGCTTCTTCAAAAGCCATGTTTGGGTGTTTTCTATGAACCAAACCCTAGGTTGAAGTATCTGACTATCTCAAGAGTTCTCATAACTATTTCATTAGCTTGTTCAATCTTCCTGACACCGGTTTGCTTCCCAATGCTATATTCAGTGCAGGGAGGTGAAGCCACAATCGTATGAAAGTATTTAATAGGAGGATTTTTGTATTTCCTCTGTAGTATGTCGCAGGTTCCAAAAAACGATGTGGGAAAATACGATGGCCGGACATGCTTGGCCATCGTATTTTCCCACGTCATGCGTGAAGGATTGGGCATCAAGGGTTTATGGAGGATTTATGGAGGATTTATGGAGGATTTATGGAAGGTTTATGGAAAATCATGTCAGTCTCAAAGTGGAACGTGTTTTTTATTTTATAATGCGTGGTGTAATATGGAGAGCGGCTCCGGCAAAGTTCAAAACAGGGATGTGTGAGATGAACAGAACATTTTCGGATCTGAAGCTTGTAGTGTGTCTTGGGACGTTGGTTCAGGATGGGTTGGCTCACATGCGTGGTGTAACATGGAGAGCTGTTCCGGCAAAGTTCAAAACAGATGTGTGAGATGAAAATCTTACGGTCTGAGGTTTTGTGATGTATCTTTGGGAGGTAGGTTCAGGATGGGTTAGCACAAATGTGTGGTGTAACATGGAGAGCTGCTCGGGCAAAGTTCAAAACAGGGATGTGTGAGATGAAAATCTTACGGTCTGAGGTTTTGTGATGTATCTTTGGGAGGTAGGTTCAGGATGGGTTGGCACAAATGTGTGGTGTAACATGGAGAGCTGCTCGGGCAAAGTTCAAAACAGGGATATGTGAGATGAAAGTCTAAGGCCTAAGGATGTCAAGTTTAGTGATGTATCTTTGGGGCTTTGGTTCAGGATGGGTTGGCACAAATGCGTGGTGTAACATGGAGAGCGGTTACCTCAACAAGTTTTTTTTTTTGATATGTCAACGTTGACAGCTTTGGCATTTGCCGTGCCAACAAGGCATTGATACGATGTGGGAGCGGAAGCTGGGTGGGATGAAAAGGATGTGGTTGACCGTTCTCTGGGGAAGTGTGCTGATTTTATAGTTTAAGGTGTTTTTTGAACACATGCTGAGCACTGCTGTTTCATCTCTGTGCAACATTTTTGTTTTGATTTTCAACAGACCCCAGAGACACTGCTTTTAATCTTTTGTACCTTGATTTTTCATTTTCAGAAATAGGGGTCAGGTCCGCTTTTCATCGTTTCATTTTTTTTGCTCACACCTTAGGCCTCCAGGTTTTTAAACGGCTGGTTTTTGGGATGGAAACCTGGTGCTGCAACCCAGCGTGCTGCACCCTAAGTTGAAGGCCCAACGGGGATGATCAACAATTTATAATTTATATATATTTTTTTAAAGGTTGATAACATGTTGAAAAGGTTATTCAAAGTTTCTTCAAAGTTTGGTTAAACTATGAAAATTGCATTCAAAGTTTCTTCAACATTTGATGAAACCTTTAAACATACATTTAAAATTTCGTTAAAGGTTGATCAAACTACTTTGAAATTAATGTTTCAAAGTTTTATCAAACTTTGCAAAACAAGTTTTGTCAAACTTTGAAGGTTGTTTCAAAACTTTAATAACAGTTTGAATATTCAAATTTTGATAAACGTTTGAATACTCAATCAAAGTTTGATCAAACTTTTAAATGACCTTTCAAAGATTGATAAAAGTTTGAAACATTAATTTCAATGTTTGATAAATCTTTGAAGGTCAAGTTTTATTCTTTCAGAAACACCACTCAGAAATGGAAACTCTCAGAAATGAAAACTCTCAGAAATG